AATCTGCTGTGGCTAAACATACTTGGACTTACGACCATCGTATAAAATGGGACGAAGCAACCATTTTGGCGATTGATAGTCATAAGTTCTGTCGCAAAATGAGAGAGTCAATTGAAATCGAGAAGCATAATACTATAGATCAGGAGGGAAAGCCACTAGATAGTACGTGGCGTACTCTCTTTAATGTGCAAAATTAATTTCTCTTGTCTTGGATGCGCGCGCGTTAATTGGAGTCACTTCACTACGTCACAGATGAAGGATATACTTACTTAATCTATGACTACGTTTGAAATGACGTGGTTGATGTGCCGTTTAATTAAATTTCAAATGACGCGAGCCAACACTTTTGTATATAAAAAGAGCGTGTGCTTACGGATCGAAAGCTTTGCAGTAATAAATTTACGTGGTGCTTCCACAAACAAAACTGTTAAATATGTTATTATTATAAGTAATATCATGACTTGAGTTAGCAATTAAATGTTACTGCCAGCCGAAGAATTGGGAAATTATTTGTCTTCTTATTTTCCCAACATACAAGGGGAGATTATAAGAAAAAGAAAAGCTTCGTCTCCCACTAAATTTCACTCTTGCATATCATTACAAGTTTGGTAAAACTAGAAGACAAAGGAAAAGCTTGCCTCGTTCATGGCCATGCATGCACTGACGGAAATACGAAAGTGCTGAGGCGTGGGAAGCAGTGTTAGGGCCTGAACTTCAGGTTAGGGAAGCAGTGTCTTTGAGGCACGAGGCAATCATGTTACACTCTAAATTTCCGGGTGTTGCTACAATATTAAAATGGTGTAGATCTTTGCCGCTCTGTAGACGTGCATGCTGATAATGTTAACACCATTTTTGTGTTAGTGAACACCAAATGCACTGGTCAATCGTATAGTTACACCCAATACATAAGAGTTATATTAAAATACCAAATGTTTTCCGTGCACGACAGTATCATCCATGCATGCGGGACGTTGCGAGACTTTTGGAAAGCGGAAAAAATACGATCCTCAGGCGAGTGTTTTTTACGCTTTTCGAAAGTCGAGCGACATGCCAAGTGCATGCAGGGCGCTGTGATGTCTAAGCTCTAACAAGTATGGATAAGCGCTAACTAATTCCATTTGATAGCTTGTAGCAAGAAATGTCATCAAAACAATTTTTGACACATTTTCAGGTGTTGCCGGCCGTATAAGTAGAAGTTTGAAAAAAGACGATCATATTTAATTTCACAAGAAAGTGTTTTTAATATACCCCTTGGACAGCTGAAGCATGCGTTGACAATTGTGTGCAAAGAGCTCCAGTGCTGTGAGTGATGTCATCAAAAAATCCAATATCCTGGAAAAGGAAATTGTTTATTTAAAGTTATCAAATTGGTTATGTATGTACTTGTGTTATGTGAATACCGGGAAGATGTTCTATCACAGTATTTAATTAAATTCCATACCACTAGGTACAAGTACAAGGTACAAGTATCAAATCATCAAATGTGCTATCATGTATGCACTGCACAATTGTATGGATTTGGATACGAAGAAAAAATTAAGAATGATAGCTAAACTGTGGAGAAATTTACGAAAAAATGAGGGGAAATGGAACGAACAACGGTGGTTAAACACCCCCCTCCCCCCTCGCCAACAATTTTGTGAAAAGAAATATTAATTAGTAGTTGTAGTGACTCGGCAAAATTCACTTACACCCCATATTCAAAGAGGTCTAGCGCCGCCCCTGTATATATATTACCTGCCGAAGCATGGCTGCAAAAGCCTTCTTGCGAAGTCTTGCTGTTAAAGTTTCCCCAGCTTTAGCAAACATCCAGTTCTATTAAAAAAATAAAATGTCATTCAGATTTTTAGAAAGAGTAATTGGGCTTTGATTTATTGATTCATTTAGAAATACTGCTACACGGTAACATATCAACCAATGCATCCCAACATTCGCTGCCACATATCGGGTTATTACAACATGGGAATTTTGGATATATACTATATAGGGCGATGATAAGTTAAAAAAAATCACCAGCATCGGCTGTTTCGTACTTTTCAGGCATATATTTTTCATTTTCGTTCATTTCTTTCATGTCTTTGTGATATGTTACATGGAGAAAAGGTCGTACGTGGAGTGAAATGCGGGGCAAGTCCTCAATTTTACTGTAAATTTAGATCTTATATATTAGAATGATTCTTTGTTGGAAATTGCGCTAGCTGCAAGTTGCCGCAAAAATTAGCTCGTCTAACTGGGCCTTACCACTTACCTGAAGTATGAATCCTGTAGCAGTACCAGCTCCTATAGCTAAAAACATTAAAGCCCATTTTCGAGAATCGTCCCTCATTGTTTCTCTTTCAGCTTCGATGTAAGGATTGTGTTGCAGAACCTGAATAAATAAACAAGATAAGAGTCGGGCCTTTCAGATCTGGAAATCGGGCTGCAGCACGCGCGTTCGTTCTTTTGATTTGGCCAAAGAAGAACGACAAATGGCAAAATTTGCACGGTGCCCGTCGAGGTTCCCGTTTGCAAAAACAGCTGCAAACTGCTCTAATTCTTTCGTTCACTTTCATAATAATAATTAATAATAATAATTACACTTTATATAACGCAAATTACATTAAAATATGATTGATCTCATCGATCCGTGAGTTGGCCTCAACGGCCTTTGAATTGCAATTGTTTACAAAAATAACCTTCCAGTCTAAGTATCCCACCTTTCATGCAATGTCACTGATTGTAGATTCAACATACTTGTACCAAAGGTGGATACTTACACCCATAAGTTCACCAAGGATAAGAGCGAAGACAAAAGGGAATGCCCCAGTTAAAGCTGAACCAATACTTCCTATGGCCATCCACCTCCACTCAGGAAAGTTTAGTTTGATCACTTTAAAGATTGGAGCAGGTTCAACATCTTCCTCAATAATTATTTCATCTTTAACCTAAATATATTATGGATTGGACGCTTCATTAAAATAGACTTAATCAAATGAACAAGGGTATAGTTTACTCGCACTCCCAATCAGTTTGAAACAAAGTATATTTGTTACTTATGCCTATATCATGCAGTCACTGTTTTGGTTGCATGACTATGAAAATGCTTGAGCTAAGATAATCGACGACTTATTTTCCTCGTATCTGTATCCATGCAAGGCAGTATAACCTTGTGTCCTTGTAGGGGTCATTCACAAAATACGTGGCGCTTTAGAGGAGCAAGGAGGTGTTTAGCCATTGTTAACGACGCCAAGGAGGCTGAAATTAAGGCCCTATCCACATTAATCCGTCTTTGTTTGTAAACGTATATTTTTGTTTGCATTTTCCACCATCCTCCACACTAATATGATGCAAGATTTCATGCAATTCATCCATGAAAACAGACGACTTTTCCAAAAAACGTTAACGGAGGCGTTTTCATTGGATTAGTGTGGGCAGCTAATGTCATGAATTTTATTATAATGTTAAACGAATGTGCTTGTATTTGTGTTTTTTCTCGACCCTATTTCAGCCGATTTGCTCATTAATCCGGGAGCAATAGCTTACGAAGACCCCTGAATGCTTTACACTGCCCTTGACATTGCATGCAAAGCTGTGTCATCCGTGAATATTAATTTTAGGTCGATTAGACCTCGACAACTTTAACAATATGTATTAAAGGATTTTCCTCTTTCTGCAAATAGAACTTTACCAATTCTTTCCGGAAAATATTTCCATGCATAATTACCGTGACGAAATAAATTGAATAAATACACAGTCGCAAATAACGAAAACGTATTTAACTGAATGTATTACACCTTAATCACCGCAATATGAACAATATTTTCATATCTAATATTTACCATAGATTTTCTGGAAAGTTGACGAGAAAGCTGTCTTCCAAATCTCACATTTGCAGCAACACTGCCACTTGATGATATTGACAACTGCATATCAACTTTCTCTGAAGAATTTCATTTTAAAGAAAATAGTACATAGCATACATTACTAGGATACGACGAATAAGGAACTTATGGCATCATGTAGAAATATTAAGTATATATATATATACTGTATATAATCCTTTTTGCCACAACCTTTCAAAAAAATATAAAAATACAGTCTCATGTTATATTGATGACTACTTTGGAATGTCGTGATATGCGCTGCATGGGAATCCCATTGAAGCATTACACATCGAAAGTATCGATATATATATATATGTGTGATACCTTCGTCATCTCCTTTATCTTCTGGTTCAGCTGCTTTATCCTTTTCTGCAGCCAGCATCTGAAGTGAATCAAAAGCTTTCGTTAGGATTATATAAATAACCAACTGTTTAAATATACTTTTTGACATATAGGTGATAGAAGATTATAGTTTATGGTTGGAGGGGTGGATGGGGGGGGGGACCAAACTTCATGAGGCCCGGGGGCATACTGTAGTCTCTCAGAAACTTTTGGCAGCTGTAATCCTGAAATGGCATTTCCAGTATTCTGCATGGTGTAGAGATAAAACGCAGATTGAACTCTATGTTATTTTGTTAATTTGGCATTTCAGACAGCTGGCATCTTCATTTTAACTTTTCCCACGCTGATTTCTTTTTTTTGGAGGAGTGATCTTAGCCCTTCACCTGGATATAGCATGCAGTTATATGCTTTTTGTCTGTTCATCGATAGTGGTTATTCTAGATCCTTCTTAGATTGGGGTCGGTTGTTCGAAAGTGGGGTAGGTTAATCCTGGTTTAACGAAAAGGCAAAAATTATATACATGTATTTAAGACACTCGAAATATTTTTCTAAAATTTTTTTCTCAGTCAATATAGCAATTTATTTGAAGTAAACAAACTTCCAGAAATACACGAACAAAAACTGCATTGTGTAAAATTTTAACGCTAATCGTGCTTTGGACAACCGCCGGAGATTTACCTCGCACTGTGACCGCGAATACTACTTAGGAAGTTGGGTTTTGCCAAAATGCCCTATATGGTATTTTAAATCCATATTTGTGAAACACTTTCCTAAAGTTAGTTTGCATTGCGAAGAAAAGGAGTTAAGCTTATGACATTCGGTTTGTCCAAAACGCTTTTCCAAATGAATAGAGTTAGCGAACGCTGTTTACGCCGGATTTCCTTCGGTACAAGAACATTCAAATGGTGGTTAGGGTACGTCTTAGAAGAATATTCATAATCTATTAGCATTATTCCATTAATCGTATTAGCCATTAGGTAAATACGTATCGTCGTTCAAACAAATTAAAGGTATTTAAAAGTACGGGCCTCTTTTAAGAATTTATCAGTGGATCGAAAGGCCATCAAGGAGAACGTACCTAACTAGGAGTTGGTGAATTGGAAAAGTGCGAAATTATAGGGTGGGGGTGGGGGGTCTTGGGATAAGCATATAAAATTAAAAACACTCTTTCGTATTCAACACTGTACCTGTAAAGTGACAAGATCTTTATAAATTCCACCCGCAGCCATGAGCTCATCGTTTGTTCCAATTTGATTTACTTTGCCTTGATCAACAGCAACAATCATATCTGCATTCTTAATGGTGGACAGTCGATGTGCAATCACGATAGTAGTACGACCTTCACTTGCCTGCAAATTTGAAAGATTGAATGAAAGATTGCCATGGATACTAGAAAATGATTGCAGATTATGATGATTATTAAATATATTGACACCGACATTATACATTTTTGAAAATGACCAAAGTCATCAAAGACCGCAACGAGCAGTCATTCACAAATACTGTAATCTCGAACCAAATGTAGACTTAATTCTGGAGTCGTTATTTTAGAGACCTCAAGATTAACCGGCAGACCACTAAACGCAAACGGCAAGCATGATTTCAAATCGCATTTGAAGTAATTCTACATGTTTCACTGCATGGCGACAGCTAAATCTAGCTGATCTATGCTTCAATTCTAATGCGCAGATTGGTCCAACTAGTCAAAAAGCTAACAGACAAATTTGATTCTCTATTAGACAAATTTGACACGACCTCAAAGACGCGCCTTCGAAACAAAAAATTTCTCCATGCAAGACAAAGCGTATGAATAATTTGTTATCGCAGGGGTATACCCTCAACAACGTTGCCATTCTGACTCCATGTTACACTAAGATTTTCACGTCCTTAGAACAACGTGAAAGTTTGGTACAAGATATGAAATGCGCTTTTCAACAGACACCTCAGTCGTTTTTTTAACAAACTTAGCTGTTTGTGAGGTTCAGGGCCGTTGCCAAGACTTTGCCTTTGGGGGGTGTGAGGTTAGATTTACCTGAATTTTTCCAACTCAACGTTTTTACCTGATTTTGAGACGCCTGCGAGGCGCAACCATGGTTGGCGCCGAGCAAAATGTTTTGAAAATTTCTAGACCGTTGGAAATGGCATTTTCAGAGTCTTTCCTACCCAATATTTCAATATTTTAGTATTGTCTAACAATGAAGATAAGTATTGCTACTTACAATTTAGTGTGACTAGGAAAATTGAGAAAATTTTGGAAATTTGTAGTCTCCAGATCGTCAGAAAGGGTATTCGGCAATTGTCCAACTGCCACAACACGTCTCAACGTCTTTGTTTGTTCGATTGTTAACTCTAATTCTGATTCAGACTATAGAGTTCACTTTTTTATGCCCTGAGAATTACCTGAAAATCTACTGGAAATCTACCTGAAATAGCTCATGAGCAATGTTAGGGGGTATTGCACCTAACCCCGGTCGCTACGGCCCTGGTAAGGTTATTTTAAGAAATCTTCAAACATTTATTACAATACTATCAAGTTCTTTAGCGCTCATTCTTGGACTGAAATTGAGACTACGTGGTCGAGTTTGCCCAGTCATTTTTTCTAAATCTGCCTATTATTAACAAGAATACATCATCATCAGATCTTACCTTATCTAAAGCATCTTGTACAATAGATTCACTTTCAGTATCAAGAGCTGATGTGGCTTCATCCAACAACAATATCCTGGGATTTCTGATCAAAGCACGAGCAATGGCAATACGTTGTTTTTGACCTCCACTCATCTGAGCCCCTCGTTCACCACACAGTGTATGATAACCCTAAGACAAAACCGGATAGTAACGAGATGAATGCAGATAGATTTTTAGTAGAATTTTTGAATGAATATTTATAATATCCAATTTCATAACCAACTGTGGGCAGCTGCAAAAAATGCACTTTTGGGCTCTATGGTAAGAATCGAACCTTCAGCCATGCGATTCCGTGGTGCGGCGCCCTGCCACGGGGCCGAAAGTTGTATTTTTGCAGTTGCCATGCGTAGCTTCGCCACTGCCCATATATTATAAGATGGTCCATAAAGATTCTTTTCCTCGCATGTACTTAATAATATGAGCTCTATTTATATTATACCTATCAATGCATATGTAAAAATATTATATTGTATATATTACACTATGGACATCTCACACAACACAACGATATACATATCAAGCTTTGCCAAAAATTATGGTTACTGAGTGAAGGTTTAGAACGCTGTGGTCTTGCAACATTGATCTAGCTAAATTTTCACCTACATATAAGGGCACCATGGGATGCTGCAGGTGATTTCTTGTTGCATTTCACCAACAAACTCTTTTTAACACCATAATAGAGGGTAGCATTTTGACCAAGTTTACTCACTACCCCTCTCCCCCACCTTTATTCTCACCTCAATCGCACTTGTCTATTAAGTGTTTAAATAAAAAAATCATTGACTATGAAGACTGATGCTCGTACCTGTGGAAACTGTGATATAAAGTTGTGTGCATTGGCCTGTTTAGCGACTTTCTCAATATCCGCCATTGTTGCTCCTTCTCGTCCATATGAAATATTTTCAGCAATTGTGGTCGCAAATAAAACTGGTTCTTGACTTACTACTCCAATATGACTGCGCAACCATTTTACATTTAACGATTTGATATCATAACTACCAACTTTCACCTATATAACACGAGTATACAGTTATCATTTATTGTAGTTTATTTATAAAAACACATAACATCAGGGGTGGGAAATATATTTTACTTTCTGGGACCGCAACAGAACATTGAAAATTTTCTGCAAATAATCATACAGTAAATCGACACTCGGACAATGTAACTGTGTGACACTAACAACTTGTTAAACTGGATGTCATGCTATATTTTAGAGGAAAAAATTATTTTAGTCCATTGAGAATCTTAAAATATAACATAAAACTAATTTAGATAGCATGCATCAAGGGTCTGATCCTTATAAGGTAAATATACAGCGCCAATGTTTAAGAGGGCACTCGACAGCGAAGCTAAAACGACAACTTTAAATGGTAGTCTTTAATACTATGTTATGAATAAAACAACAACAAGGCCAAGACAAGCCACAAGAGTATACTAACATGAAGTAAAGGTCGCCTAGGCGCGAACAAGATCGCAGGCGCATGTGATCTTTACTACAACAATAACAACTAAAAGCCACACTATGGCGTGACTACTTTTTGTCTGTCTTTCTCTACATATTGTTCCGAGAGTGTTAGTGTAAACCAATATAAATTTAAGCTATATATAAACGTTCAACTATGTAACAAAGTCTTGCAGGTGAACGGGAGAGTGGCGTTGGCGACTGGAGCGTCGAGGGGCAGGTGAATCTTCGGATGCAGCGGGGGTGGAGGGTGACTGGCAGGGGCTAGGAAGACTAGTAATGAGCTCATCAGCTTTATAAGAGTTAGACGGGAAATGTTTGTAATCAGGACCAGGGAAACAAGTGGTGTGAGATAAGGGTAAAACACAATCATCGTTGTAGGGTGGAAGGGATAACTTTTCCGGGACTCGAGGTGGACAGGGAGGCTTGGGTTCAGCAGCTGGAGTGTACTTGTGAGGTTGGTGGAGACGAGGACTTGGAGGTGGAGCAGTGAAATTGTTGGTGACAAGAAAGCACTCTGATAACTTGATGCGATATGGCGAGGATCGGAGTTGGGAACCAGCAAATTTGCGTACATTACACCACGACCCATCAATTGACACAACCAAGTATCGATCTCGTGCACGAGTTTTGGAGCCATCTGAAGTGATATATACCAGATCGCCAACTTGAAGGGCGGGCGATGCTCGGCGTTGACCACTGGGGGTTTTAGACTTCTCACTGGCAGGGTGATTATGTATACGGTGAGAGTGCTGTTCTCTGATTAGGTGTAGGTCGGAGATGGGAAGTTGCGAATTCGTAAACTGGTCACGCTGGTACCACATCTCACGGGCAGATAGACCTCTGTCACGAATACGAGTATTCAGGTTTGCCGTGGCAATCGCTAGTGTTACAGGGGAGACGGCACCACCTTCTGGAGAGACGCGCAACAGTTCATCACCGAGCTCGGCAATGCATTTCTCGGCCACGGGGTTCTTGTTCACGTTCTTTACGCGACCAATCTCAACGGTAATTTTATGTCGTCGCAATTCCTCGTCGTTGGATAGGGAAGCAAATCCGGGAGCTGGATCGACTCTGATTACTGCGCATGGGCCAGATATTGGGCGTAGCTCAAGGCAGAGGAAAATGAGGCTAGCACGGAGAGTATCATGGCGTTCATTTTCTATTATGCAGGACGTGGTAAACGAAGTAGTTGTCTCGCGAACGACCAGGATGAGTTGTTTGTTTCTCTTCATTACATCGGCCGCAAATGAAAGGCCAACTGCATCAGGAGGGTCCGATGTGGACTGTTCAATCAAACAGTTGGGAATCTTCTGAAGTGAGGCACAAATGTGGCATGACTGTGAGCACCGGTCTAGGGCTTTATCAAGGTCCAATGCGTAGAAATAGCGAAGGGCGACTTGTTTGAGCTGGTGTCGAGAAGGGTAGTTAAGTTTGACGTGGAGTGCCGTAAGCAGGCCGTCTATGACAAGGCGTGGGACGATGATACATTCGCGGGAGGGAGAAAAGGGCTCTTCTTTTCTAACGACCACTAGACCGTCTCTAGACAGAGAGGCAACATTGAGATAGCGCTTGACATCCTTAATATTGGTGGACTTCTTGGATGGACGGGTACCCTGCTTGAGGTGAGAGTGGGCACGGCGTAGGTCGGGACATTCTTGT